ATGATTTTGGTGAAATGCATATAAGTTTGGATTTGTGAACCTAATGAACATCACACACACGCAACACTTCACAAATACATACACGTTTGGATTTGTGAAACCTAATGAACATCAACAATATGACATAAAACAGTAACGAATCCCAACGTCTACGTCGGTGTTATTTGTGCTGATTTGATATCTGTTAATATATATATATATATGTGTTTGTGCACAAATGTCTTAATGCATCCTAGTATGAAAAATGTAATCACTATGTGTGTGATCAAGTAATATAGCACAGTGAACATAATGAACAACCCCTATATAAGCATGATATGAWTTGTGCTATATGACATAAAAYARTAACAAAACTAAAACTATTATTACACAAAGTAGATAATTAAAAAGAGCAACAAWRATGTGAATTTACTGAAATTGAAAACTTAGTGAAGAATGTATATTGTTTGTCATCCCGAAGTCAAATCTTTAATGAACATAATGAACARCCCCYATGTAGTTAGTCTTCAAAACTAAAACTATTATTACACAAAGTAGATAATTAAAAAGAGCAACAAAGACGTGGATTTACTGAAATTCAAAACTTAGTGAAAAATGTATATTGTTTGTCATCCCGAACTCAAATCTTTAATGTAGGTGTGTTCACATTAGCGTGTTTATAGCTATTGCATGTTCATATTGGGACACTTATTGATCATTTTCTTCACTTTCGGAATTCGAATTCCGAATGTATTCGTAGACGCTTTTAGCTTTTTCATTCTCATTGTCGTCGATCCGTTTTACTTTATGATTATCCATATTACTCGGACTATAACGGAATCTTTACAAAAGGGACTTTTTTCAAATTTACAATATCAAAACCATTATAGGAAGAATAAATGTAAAACTCAGTAAGATGAACACATGTGAAGCTTCATGTCATTATTACATGAAGATCAATTAGTAATATTTTAATATTTGTAACTCACAATTAAAATATTTGGGAGTTACATAAGAATGATAAATTACCTAAATACCCTTACAATTAATATGTRAGTTACATTTGAACCTAACTAAAAGATGGAACATGATTGGTTGATGTTGGTTAACATAGTTTGCACAATAGTTTTGGTTAATATTTGAACCAACCTCTCTCTCTCTCTCTCTCTCTCTATAT